GTTTTTGGAACTGTATGGTTAAAAAATCCAACAAGGCAATATTTTATGATTTATGCACTCTATACTGGACAATTATTTGTGATGCAAGCTTTCTTAGAAATCCAAATAGTTGCATTCTTAATGCATAGGGTGTTTTAACACATATGAAATAGTTTTGAAAGTTTGATAATATTTTGCATCATTATGCAATTTACTCATTTTATTGCAAGTTTTAATAGTGCAATGAGTGCAGGGTGAATCTTACACTGTTTCTTCCCAAAAGACCCAGGCTCCACTTGCTGAAGTTGCTCAAGCATGCCCACAAGAGAGGGACAGCAGCTGCATGGGGAGTGAGGTAGGGGGAAGGGGGAGCAGCGTAAATTTGGCAGCTCATATGTGAGCTCCAGCGAGAAGTCCACTCACGGGGTTCAAAAGGGGAATAATAGGCCCCCATGAATTAAAAAAAAACAGCCAACTGGAGCATTTGAAATTTAAAAATAAATCTGAAACACAAGTAGTAATGATCAGAAAATCATCACAGATAAATGAAAGTAATTCCAGCATACTGCTCATGAAAACTGGTGAATACAAGGAAATCAGATCATGGGATGAAATTGGTTGAGAGAGCACACAATTTTAGGTGTGTCAAGATGAGAAATCAAGTTCAATGGCATCAGTAACAGATGGAAAATCCATTGCCAACCAAAGTGAGTGTCAAGAAAAAATTCATCCAAAATTGATGGTGCAGCCTGTAAACTTTGAACAGGCGGCACAATTCAATAATTTTGCTTGATGTGCATCTCAAATGTTCAAGAAAATCACAAGCAAATCACCCATCATCATAGGTGTGTTACTCATTGCTTACTTGTTTTTTTTTCCTGACAGGCATGTGGCATGTATGTCCAACACACATTGATTACAGAGCAATTAACTTATTTATTGTGACAGGAAAACTACATATGTAATTGGTTGAAAACAGGTATACTCTCACACTGGCTTGTAAAGCTTGCATACACACATGGATTATATTTGCTAGGATTGCACACTTCAAAAAAATCTATACAGTGGTGACTGGCCTAGCAAAAACAAGCATGCAGTTCCAGGACTGCGTTTGCTAAGTGGAACATTATTTGTAAGTAATGTTTTCCCTGAAGGCCAAAATGTAAAATCTACTAATCAGTTCCTGTAAATGAAATCTACTGCTAAAATTATCAAAAACTCCTAAATTTTAAGAAACCCAAAGAAAAAAACTTTAAAACACCCAAAGTTTCTTCTAAAGATCTTCCTATTTACATATCCTAGATGCTCTTCATTTGGAATGACATATGGAAACTGTGCTACTTGTACTTCATGCATATGCAACATCTATGAGCAAATAAGCAGGAGTCAATCCTCTGCTATGACTTTGCATAAATGTCACATTTACATGAGGTACAAGCACTGGTTAGATCTTGCAAGCTAAAATTGAACTAATAGGAATAACCAGCACATGGAACATCCTGAAGTCAAATTATTTTCAAGTATTTGTCTGAATATCATTAGGAACACATGCATTAAAACCTTAGCTGAGTCTGTATTTAGTAGATAACTATGGTTATGAAAATGGCATTGCATGTGTCAAGAATGCTCCCATTGTTTCAACTGGCTTTTTGTTAGAATCTCATTCCAACAAAACCAGGCAAATGTACTGTCTTTTAAAAACTCCTGGCCCCAATTTTTTAAGAAGTAGCCTCTTGATGCAGAAAGTGTCCTGCTGCTTACAACCTGTCAAATGCACTTATTGTCAACCACATTTCAGAAAATATGCCTGACATCTAGAAGACCCATGGAACATCCCATCATACCATTTCACAAATATATGGAGAAATCATTTTTTCACACACGGTGTCACTTGCTACACCACATCCTGCATAAGGGATGTATTACCAATTCTTTAAGTCACTCATGCCCAACCATGGTAGAGAGTGTTGGGTGCAGGGCATGTGGGGGCGGGGGGCCGAGAGTTTTGAGGACCAGCAAGAGTTCTGCTTGGGCGAGATGCGGGGCCTCACCCACGTTTCCGGCCACATGTGGGCATCAGGATTGGCAAAATATAAGTAAAAGTTCAAAATAATGTTCGTGTTAAGTGCAGGTGAGATGTTCGAGTACCAATCCTATTATTGTAGTCAGGTGAATTATTTATTTGAATTCAACTGATTTTGAGCGAAACTAATCTAAAGCAACCCAGTAAAAAAATGGTCAACCAGAAAAAAGTGCATGGAGTGGGTCACTGCAAGAATGAGCCAGGATGAGGCCAGTGCCCAGCAGCGGCACCCCTGCACCACAAAAGCCCCACAGCATCCTATCTTGACAATTTCCTTTCTCTCTCTCTCTCTCTCTCTCTAAAACGAAATTCCAGGGACTAGAGAAATCATGAAGAACCCCTCTATCATGGGGATAGAACCCAGTGAGAAAAAATTACTTTTACAGATAAATTTGCTGCAGAGATAGTATATCTGTATGCATGTATGAGACTGTTGAAGGCCCCGCGCGCACATTCATGATGACTGCAGTGAAACACATGTTGCATCCGCATTACTCGGCCGATCTGTAATTAATTATCCTGCTGGTTACCGCATGCGAATACACCAATACAGTGTAAAACATTGGAACCAAAAACTCTTATGAAACGATGTTCTGTCCAGTAGATGAAACGTTCCTGTATACTTCAGAATCAGTAGGCGAGGGACACCCGGACAAAATCTGCGATCAGATATCAGACGCCATTTTGGATGCTCATTTAGTGCAAGACCCATCGGCCAAAGTCGCATGCGAAACACTGGCCAAAGGAGGACTTATCCTCCTCGCCGGTGAAATCAATTCGAATGCCAATGTGAACTACCAAGAAGTGGTGAAGCGAACCCTGAGGAACATCGGATATGACGAAGAACGCAAGGGCTTGAATGCGGATACGTGTTCCGTGTTGACGGTGCTGAACGGCCAAAGTTCCGAGATTGCCAATGGGGTCTATGTTAATAAGGATTCGATGGACTTGGCAGCCGGGGATCAAGGACTGATGTTCGGTTACGCGACTGACGAGACTCCGGAACTACTACCCATCACGCTGCTTTTGGCTCATCAGCTCAACATGTGAGAATTTAAAAAGACATCTCATTTCGTAACGCTCGAGAACGCGTACATATTAATTATTCGGACATCGTACACTACAATTTATTTCATGGCTTGTCTATACAGCACATTTTTCATCAAATAAATTCTGCTTCCATGAAAAAGGCATTGCTACTTGAAAAAATATTTTTCGAACGAAAATATTTTCTCTGCCTTACGCATCGTCATTTTGATTCAATTCGAAAATGTTCAAAGAACGGTGCCAGACCTTACATAATGCATGGTTGAATTCTGTTCAGTGGAAATTGATGAAATCACTTCCCACGACAAGAAACTGACAATTAATTTCTCCTGCCAGATTTCACTTAATGCGACTTTTGCGATTGGTTCAGCGAAACAATGTCAAATCAGTATGAGATGCCATAAATGGTATAATTCATGATCATGTTGTTTTTCCTAATTTTGGGAAAGGAGATAGCAAAAATTCTTCTGTACATTCTTCCTGACAAAATTAAAAAAATTAATCCGACGGTTACTGAAGTATATAGAAGATTTTCGCCATTAAAAATTAATTTGATCAAATAAATGCCAGAAACATTAATTAAGTACAGAAATGTGCGATAACCGTTAATTAAACATAGATAATTGAGCAATCAGGTTTTTTCATTAAACAGTCTTACCTTTTCAAAACAGCAGAAATTCGTAGCGTTAAGAAATTTTAATTTATAAACGTACTTAAAATGCTCACAGGAAGCTCGCAGAACTAAGAAAGACGAACCTCTTCTCATGGGCGTGGCCGGATTCAAAAACGCAAGTAACCTGCGAGTACTTGAATTCCTCTGGGTCAATGGTACCAAAGAGGGTTCACACAGTGGTAGTGTCAATTCAGCACTCGCCTAGTGCCAGCGTTGAATTCGTGCGAAAAGAGGTCATGCGACGCGTTGTTAAAGAAGTCATTCCTTACGAGCTTCTCGACGACAAAACGATAATTCACATCAATCCCTGTGGGCCGTGGCACGCTGGTGGTCCTGCGGCAGACGCAGGGCTCACTGGGAGAAAGCTCATGGTTGACACTTACGGCGGCTGGGGCGCTCATGGCGGCGGAGCATTTTCTGGAAAAGATCCATCAAAGGTGGGCGTAAATTTACGGTCAGATTCTTTTCAAACCGTGAGAAAAAAAAGGTTCACCGACACTACGAACATAGCTGACATATCAATTATGCCAAAATTAGCGACAGTAAAGCTGAGTACAGTCCAGTCCTGTACTACTTTTCGTAGCGACTTACTGAAAAACAAGACCGCAGTGGCAATGTTGAGGTGTTGAATTGAAATTTCTATAAATTTTCTCACAATTCTCTGCCAAAGGATAGTTTTTTTACAATTTTAGTGGCCAGAAAAGTTATTTTAATTCTTTTGCTTTTAGTAGGCCAAAATGAAGTTAATTCATTGGATGTTTAATTGCCTACTAAAAACCCTGTCTTTCTCTAAGATATGCAGAACTCCTAGTAGCCAGTAAGACGTTTTCCATAGGGTTCACACAATCTGCACCTATAAAAATAAACGCTGGAACGTCAATTTATTCTTCATTATGATTACGCTGAAGTTGACATTTTGTTGTTCAGATAAGCGTTTCTCAGATCTGACGAAAATTTACAACTTGAAAATTCTGGAAATTTCCAGCATGCTGTACTTTGAAATGACGAACTTTGAAGACGGGCTCAAGTGTCGTGGAAAAATCTGGCTGTAACCAGGAAATTCTTCCTTTTCACAGTATGATCTAACCATTCTGTCAACATTCCCGCGCATGCTGGATCAGTCGTTCAAACAAAATCCTGTTCCAAATAATTCAAAATGATATCTCAATACCGTCTACAGGTCACTTGCCTCGTCGTAATGTCTTCTGAAATACACTAACAGAATGAGCCTCGATTTCACCTCTCTCGACAGTTGAAGCCCTGTGATCGCTCAAATCATCGAGTTATTTATCACTATTGAACGAGAAGCGGTCTTTCATTTACACTTTTCACTGGGAAAAAATTAGTCAGCAATTCCTGAAAGAAATGATTAATCACAGCGAATTCACGAATGGAGTACCAGATTGATTCGTTCAAAAACTGCTTGTAGTTCCGCTGAAATGCAACAATGTAATAGGAAACGTTAACTGCGTCCGATTCAAATAGACCGGTCTTTCATCTGTCCAACGCGTAGGTTGATAGGTCAGGCGCATATGCAGCTCGCTGGGTGGCGAAGTCCTTGATTGCTGCCGGATTATGTCGTCGTTGTCTGATCCAAGTGTCCTACGCCATAGCCATCCCTGAGCCAGTCAGTATCACAGTCTTCCACTTCGGCACGTCTAAAACAGGACTGACGCAAGCTGACTTGCAGCGAATCGTTCGACACAATTTCGATTTGCGCCCAGGAGCTATCATCAGAGATTTAGGTCTAACTAGACCAATTTACTTTAAAACTGCCAAGTACGGCCACTTCGGTAACCCGTCTTTTCCGTGGGAAACACCCAAACCTCTACAGATGCCAGATGGACTTTGAGAAAAATTCAAGTCTCATCAACGCGTACGCGTTCTGAGCTTACTGTCTCCGCTCATATCTGTGGTATAAAATTTGCGGCCAGTGCCTTTTTAACCCAGACCCTTTTTATTTCAAGTACGTTATCGTTGGCGTGAATGATATGACATTTAAAATCTCGGAAGCACAAGGTTATATTTTGAATGAATTGTTACAGCAATTCATTGTTCAATCTGGAATACATGTTACATCAAAACGTTTCGGATACAATTCAACACCACTCAAAATAGACTAAAAAAAACTTACAAATGGAGAGAATATTGAAAAGAAGCATAGAAATGCGCCACATTCGTGTCAAGACTTCCTTTTCATTCCGAGATCTTGCAGTCACGTTTTCTCAAGGCCTTCCGTCTTTAAATTGAAGGAAATTGTCAAATTATTCAACAAGGGTCAGTACAAAGGTATAGAAGGCAATCACAAATTGCACTAAAATTGCGTTGCTTTTAGAAGTTTGAATGTAGTTTTTCCCTCTTCCTGTTCAGTTAGCTTGAGAATCTAAATTCAACTTTTTGAGTAGATTGAACACATTGGTTTCGATTTTTAATGACTGAACCTTCAATCTCGTCGCCTATTCTCTAAAATATTTCCATACTTTGAAAAACGGTATTCGAGAAAATAAGTTCAAAGTCCATCTGAAGCCCCGCCAGAAGCAGGTTTGAGGAAGTTATCCAGGTGTCCCAGCAAACTTCCGAGTGATTCATCCATCACTTCAGAAGCGAGCCACTGGTTATCAGATTGGTGTAGGACTTGCGACGGGCTCAAAGGTGATACATGTGGAGGACAGAATTCGGCCAATATAGCAGCTTCGTCTAATCCAGATGGACCGCTGGAGGTAGGAAGAATTTCCACAGCTGATGTTCCAGAATCGCAGACGTTCTCACAAGTTCGTGTAAGCGTTAGATTCCCATCAACTTCAGAACCAATCGGATTTTCGAACGAGTCCGACAAAGACCGGATGAGACCTGAAATTTAAAAAATTCTAATGAATCGGCAACGGATACACGAACGACGATTTTTCACTTGGTTGAGCTGGAAGGGCTGAGAAGGGAAATTATCAGAACCTTCAATCCCTAAAGCTTAGAGTTCTCCGAAACATTTGATTTCATTCCGATTCGTTTGTTTTTTGAAGATTATTGGATTTAAAAAGAAATGAAAAACATTAAATTACTTCTACGGATCATTGAGTAGCGGACGAATCCATGTCCTGATAGGTGGGAAAATCAAATTACTGCTCGAAAAGCAGTATTTCAGAATGTTGAAAAAGTTCATTTACTGTTCCTGAAAAATAAAAATGATATCTTTTTCTTCTGAAAATGTCAGAATCCGCTCAGTACCTTAGCGCAATACGGTAACCCTCGTATGAGAGGGATAGTCCTCAATTTATTAGACGAGTGTATCTGAAAAATCCTTCTTGAACGATTTCGCCTGAACTGTTACTGTGTTCTAAATTTAAAATACCTACAAGTGTTCCACGTGATTTTTCTTCGCAAATCGACGCTCTAGCCCAAACCAAGCAGCGAATTGATAACTTATAGGGGGGAAATCAGAAAGCTTCCTTCCACGTACGTCAAAAGAAAATTGATATCGTTGAGCGTCATCCTTCGCACGTATATATCTAAACGGAACATAGTAATTCACGAAAAGGTAGGCATGCCAGATGCAGTATTTTTTCTTCGATGCGAAAATATATCTCACCAGTAAAGCTGCTGAAATTCGTACACGATGAACTCGAAGCTACAGGGGACATCGATCTCGGACTCGCCATGATCTGGGAAGCTAATGCAACCTCGGAGTCTGGGAAGCTGATGTCCATAAGCAGGCTTATTGCCGATGGTGAAGCTGGCGTTCGATTACCATAACTGCTTTCTTCTGCAGCTGCAGGAATATCCGAAGTTCTCTGCAATCCGTCGAGCACCACTTTCCGCATCCCGTAGTCGATTGGAAACGACATCTCTATCGCCCCGTTGCCCTTTTCTTTAACTTTGCTCGCTGTGTTCGAACTGCTTGCTTCCAACGCGGGCATTTTTGGAAAGATCACACTCAGCGCTTCGTTCATCCGTTGCGCCGCCGCCGGCGGCGTATCATCACTAGCTTTCCATACCACATTACTGTCCGAGTTCAACACTGCTTGGTGGAAAGAAATCTTTTTTGGCTTCCTCGCGGGCGGACGCCGGGGAGCAGGATTGAGAGGATTTTCCACAGGCACAATACGACGAACAATCATTTCAGCCTTCTTCAGCTTTTTGAACTGAGGTTTGAGGATCACTTCAGGGCGCTTGTCGGGAACACTCTGATTCCGTAGTGGATTAGGCAAAGGCACTCGGAAAAGAAATTCGTCTTGTGATATACGACTTGTGCTAACGATCGCAGAGGGTGGATCTGGAGGCAGTTGCGGTTGCTTCTCGGTTTCAACAGCCAATTTAGGTTTCTTCTTAGTAAGCGAAGCTGCTGGTGGAGTAGGACTGTGTGGCAAGGGAACTACGGTTCCACTGCTTTTCTGAGATTCCTTCATTTCCTAACAATTTAAAAAACAAAAAATACATTCAGTCTCTCAGGAGGGATTATTGTTGATCTTATTGCTTTTTACCACGTTTTTATGAACTCATTTCTTAGTTTCATTAAACTTGGTACGAAAGCGGAAAGCAATATCACTGAATTCATAGCGCGGCATAAAGCTGAACTGCCATCAAATGAGCTCAAGGAAGTGACTCCGAAAGCCGAATACACCACGTTTAAGGTTATTTTTTGCTTTTTGAAAATGTGGTTTTTAGATTAATTTTTTAATCTACTATAATTATTTTTTACCTTCGATTTCCGAAGTGAGAACGCAGCAAAATCGATCAACCTCTTCAACAGCCGCCTGGGATGGGAACTTGGAAGGTCCCTGATATCACAGTTTCCAGTGGACTCGATGGTTGAATTCACGAATTCGTACTCCATCAACACTTTCTTCGGCTTACCGAACTATGAAAATTTGTGGAATCGCACGTCAACATGAAAATCAAAATTTCGTGCAGAACATACGGTACATACCAAGAGATAAAGTTCCCCGATAGTCATCAGTTTGGCCGCATCCAAATCCCAACCGTCCACTTTGAATCTGTTAACTCGTTCACATTCTGCCAATTCTTCCTCAGTCAATTCGGCTTTCGGAGTCACTTCCTTGAGCTCATTTGATGGCAGTTCAGCTTTATGCCGCGCTATGAATTCAGTGATATTGCTTTCCGCTTTCGTACCAAGTTTAATGAAACTAAGAAATGAGTTCATGTTGACATCGTTCGAAGTATCGGGCACATGCGACTCATCCTCATAAGGAACGTTCGGATTGCTGAACTTCTTTATAACACTGTCATTCGCTGCTGAGCTGCCAACTGACAAGCATATCTCCGTCTTGCTGGTAATTTCCGACGAGACACTTGAAACAATACATTAATACACAGGTCATACATTACGATCAATACAGTGCTCCGCAAATTTACAAATTCAAAATTGTTTAATCAACTCATTCAGATGGGCGAAAAATGCATTTACCCGAAAAATGAATCGCTTTTCACATCCTCCGACTGGCTGTGTTCCCCATCAGAATTGGAACATAGACCTTCACTTTGGGTGGTGTCTCCATCGTCATCAGCGTCGCCATCATACTCGTCGTCGTCTGTTCCCACTTCCGGATTGAACTCCTCTCTCACCGGCTCCGCAACGACGGTTGGAATGGCAATCGCTTCACATTAAAGAATACGATTATGGTACTATATTAGCAGGAAATCTCTTCAACAGATCCCTTAATGATTCCTTCTAATTGTATAATTAGCATATTCTCTTTAATCATTCAGAACCTGTACTGGTATCATACTTAGAGGGGGCACAGAGTGCGTAAGAAAATAAACCAATTTCTGATTTGAAGAGAACATAGCGTTCTCATTCTTAAAACGACGCTTGAAATAAATTGAGAAATTGATATAAAATCTAGAGATGCCGAGGAGACAATTATATTCGTTAGAAAAATAGTCTCATTACCGGGAGTTTTCTTTGAGACCCTCTTTTCCTCATCAGGGAATTTCTGAGCTTGTGCAGCCTTCCAGCGCTCTCGATGGCTGTTCAAACTCAAACACGACGATTGTACCTTGGCGGGCTGTTCCATCTCCTCGACTTTAACTACGCACAAATTAGCTTCACGATGAGGAAATAAGCGAATGCAACTTTTCGGTTCCTTTTTCAGCTCTTCCGTGAACGGGGTAAGTTCCATATCGACGTTGAGCAGCTCCAAACGCTTCAAGTATAGGAAGCAACCGTGAACAACCGAAAGAATTACAAAAAATGAATAGGAGAACCTTTTTCACATTTAGCGGTCGCCATTTCCTCTGTAGAACTCTCAAAAGGGAAGACAGTCGGCGCTGTATGCTAACATTGGCAGTCACTCGAGGGTTGTGCGCAAGACTTTGAACTCTAGCGAAAGCTTCTCCAGTTCTTGGTCTCAACTGGATCTGAACAAGTTCGGGTAGCTTCTGATTCCTTCCAACGATTTCAACTAAAAATGAAAACATAGATGCGACGTAGAAAGCAAGCAACATTAACGGAGACAAGGATTGAGTCAACTTTCCAATTTCAGACTATTTGAGTCAACCATCCATTTATGAGGATTAGGAGCGTCTTAAGTCACCATTACCAAGAGAATACTGTACTGAATTAATTCGGCAATAACATCGAAGTGTCACACTTCTCAGAAGGCATCACACGGTCGGAAATCAGAAGCGTCAGGACAATGACTCGGCGAACCGATGATCCCAAATCATGCTTACCATCCATGTCATTTATCTTCTTCAAAGCTCTACACATCGGCGTTCGAATCCTGATCGTTTTTCCTCTAATTCTCACTTTCGTTGATCCCGACTGCACGAGCTCACTTAATTTAGCAACACTCTTTTCGTCGTCACAGTACGATCCTATTTTCCGACGCAGCTCGCCGTAGTTGATCAGCGCATACAGCTCGAGAGTTCCTCTTTTAACATCTGGAAAAGACCAATTTAATTCTGTACTTTCAAGATCACTCCCGGCGAACAGGGAAAGGTTGCTTAATGGAGGATGCGGAAGCTGAATGGAATAAAAGTGACGTACCGTCGAGAGATAAACATAACAGCTTCGAAATTTTCGTCCAAGTTCGATAGAAGAAGTGTCGAACTTGTTCTTTGTTTTTCATCATCGATGCCGGAAGCGCTTTCTTCTTCACCTAAACCGCACGTTGATACGATAAAGATATTCAGTCATAAAAAGGGAATGAACCACTAACTTTCATGGCAAAAAAGTTTTGAATAGCAGTGAAATCCTTTCCATGTTCATTTAGAGCATCAAAAAACAGATCTTTCGCTGCCGCTGTCCATGTTTCCCAAGTTCTGCGACGCTTCTTATTCTTGCCAGGGACGGTTGACGCGGAGGTTATCAGTTTCACGTTTGGATCCTCCGCATCATTTGTACTAGGTGCTATCGAAGCTTCTTTTCCTTTTAGCAATCCAAAATGTTGGATAAAATAAAAAATTAGGCATCCGAGACGGTGGGAATACTAACCGGCTGCGATATTTTTTTCAATCGTGTCTGACGGAGTTCCACTCTTCGGTTGATGCGAACGGATCTTCCAAGACAAAATGACTTCTCGTCCAGATGAGGTCGTTTGAGAGATGGACGCAGAATCATTTTCAGGCTGTGCTTGAATCCCAGAAAGTACATCGTTGCTCCGCAAGTCCATTTATGGCTAGCAAATTGCAGTTCACCGTGACATCACTGCACACAGTTCACGTTCCAACAACACATGCATTGCGCACCAACACTGTCCCACACATCTGAATTCCATTGCTGTGGACTTCGACGCACTTGAAGTCCTGTGGGGTTACCGGTCTGGCCATGCATCCTCTTGCCCTTCAGAACTCTGTGTCCTTGTTGATACGCTCTAGGATTACATGGATACCCCCTTGAAACGATGGCTTATATGTTGAATGAAATTTACAGTCGTGCGCGTAAATTCCACCGATGGAGAGCGTTGAATCTATGATCCGCGTCTTCTATTAGTGGATTTCAGCATGTACATCAAACAGGTGAGGTTGCTTCATGTGTTCGAAGATAGTTCCGTATTTGATCAAGTTTTTCGTGCAGATCATTATTCAAGGGTTCAAAAGTTACCGAGAGCAGACGGTGACTGAACCATTCGATCCTCGTCACAACGTCGTCGGTTAGTCTTCTTGTGTTGCGTGGAAATTATAATTTTGAATAACATAGCCTTTATTTATTTTTTCAGTTGGTCGCAATGGATCGGGAAAGAGCAACTTCTTCCAAGGTAATCGTCGATTTCTGGCCATGTATTGCAGTGTTTAACAATTTGTTTTTCTTGCAGCAATTCAATTTGTTTTGAGTGATGAATTTAGCCATCTCAGGCCGGAGCAGCGCCAAGCTCTTCTTCATGAAGGAACGGGTCCTAGAGTTATTACCGCTTTCGTGGAAATTATTTTTGATAACTCGGATCAGCGACTTCCGGTACGTAGTTGAAATTCTCTTGGTTTTCGCATCAAGTCACGACGTTGTGATCGCTTCGCAGATTGACAAAGATGAGGTATTCATTCGTCGCGTCATTGGTTCCAAGAAAGATCAATATTTTCTGAACAAGAAAATGGTAACTCGCACGGACATCATGAATCTTCTTGAATCTGCTGGATTCTCGCGTTCGAACCCGTATTACATTGTCAAGCAAGGGAAGGTTAGACATTTCTTCGATCTTTAAGCTTTTTTTGCTGTTGTTTAACATAATCTTGCATCGTCAGATAAATCAAATGGCGACAGCCCCCGATTCACATAGATTGAAACTTCTTCGTGAAGTCGCGGGTACTCGTGTTTACGATGAGCGTCGTGAAGAATCAATGGTCATCCTTCGTGAAACAGAGGGAAAACGTGACAAGATTGAAGAGTTTTTGAAAACTATTATGGACCGCTTGTCAACGCTGGAAGAAGAGAAAGAAGAGTTGAAAGAATATCAAAAATGGGACAAGACCAGACGCTCATTGGAGTACACTATCCATGATCGAGAGCTGAAGGATACTCGCACGAAATTAGAGCAGATGGAAACACAGCGGTAAACCTATATATTTTATCTTATCGTTGATGTTACTATAATCCTAAAAGTAATATCAATTTCTCTCTCAGGAAGGACAGTGGTTCTGAACAGGAAAAAATGCGAGAACAGTTGGTAGAGGCGGGTGACCAAGCGAAGGTTGCTGCGAAAGAAGTTCGAGAGTGCAAAAGTAAACTGACGGCTGCCAAAGAGGAGCGTGATCAATTCAACACAGAGTATCAGCAATTGTTGAAAGATAAGACGAAATTAGAATTCCAAATAAAAGACTTGGTGGACGAAGTGTCTGGAGACAATAAATCTAAGGTGTGTATTGTAGCAGTTCCCGTTTCCCAGATGTTCTATGCAGAGTTCATATTTTCTCTGCCGATTGCAGGAACGTGCAGAGAAGGAGCTCGCGAAGCTGAAAGAAACTATTGCACTGAAAGAGGAGGAGTTTCAGAAATTGAAACCGCAATACGAAGAGCTCAAGCGCAAGGAAGAGGAATGCACAAGAGAGTGAGTTCAATTTGCGAATGTGAGTACAGTAACATCAACCCAGAGTGACACATTTTTTGTGTGTATGTATTCAGACTTGCCCTGAAAGAACAGAAGCGGAAGGAGTTGTATGCGAAGCAGGGTCGTGGTAATCAGTTCACCACGCGAGAGGAGCGTGACACATGGATCAGAAAGGAATTGAAGTACGCATTTTGGAGCGGTTCTCCTCTGTGACATGTTCTTGCTGACATGATATTTTTCCTGAAACGTGTTTAGATCCCTTAATAAAGCCATCAGAGACAAGAAAGAGCAGATAGAGCGACTCACGGAAGACTTGAAAAATGATGGGGAGAAAATGGTTCAGTTGGAGCAGAATATTCAAGTGAGTTTTAGCATTTCGATTATCTGTGACGTTCATTATCTTTTGAATAATTTTGAATGGTTTTGAGATAAGGTGGGAATCTAAACTTATTTTGGAAAATTGAGAGTTGGTTCTGTTCCGCAGCAAGTGACCAGCGACATGGAAACGCATCGTTCGAGTATAGATGACCACAATAAGGGTTATTACGACATGAAGAAGAAGAAAGATTCTCTGCAAGCGGAGCGAAAGTGAGGTTTCATAAACCACTTTGATGACATTATTATGTCATTTAACTTATTTTCCAGCGATCTGTGGCGTCAAGAAAACAAGCTCCAACAGGAAGTGGCGACACTAAAGGAAGATATGGCAAAAGCTGAGCAAAGTCTTCGGTCTATGGTCGGAAAGCCCGTGCTGAACGGTCGAGATTCTGTGCTTAAGGTCTTGGAGTTCTTCAAGTCTCGTAGTGGTGGTGGGCAGTGGGCTCGGTTGCCCGATCAGTACTTTGGTCTCGTCATCGAAAATTTCGACTGTGACAAGTCGATTTATACAGCCGTTGAAGTGACCGCAGGCAACAGGTGAGCCAGTTTCATTTTACCTTCCCATATTTTCATATACAGGTGGACTTTCTATGGACCAGACAGGAACTGCTGTCGAAGGAAAGCTATTTTTTATACCTTTTTGATGATCTTATTTCGTTCAGGCTCTTCTTCCACATTGTGGAGAGTGACCAAGTTGGTACGCAGATACTGAAAGAAATGAATCGACAAAAGCTTCCAGGCGAGGCGAATTTCATGCCGTTGAATAAATTGCTCGTCAAAGAGATCGACTACCCTCAAACACAGGTTGGTTGATTTCATATTCCGTAATCAAACCGTGGTTCTTTAAATTATTTGAATTTTTTGTCTTACTTCCTTTTATGCAATTAGGACGCGCTGCCCATGGTTTCAAAGCTGAATTTCGACGATAAATTCAGCAAGGCTTTCATTTACATTTTTGGCCGCACTCTGATATGCAGGAATTTGGAAGTTGCCACAAATCTTGCACGATCGACTAGACTCGATTGCGTGACGTTGGATGGGGATCAAGTATGAATGATGGGTAATGCGTGACAAAAATTCAGTTCTGACCCACGACATTCCTGTGTTCAAGGTTTCCAGCAAGGGATCGTTGACTGGTGGCTATTTTAACAAGTCCAGATCTCGTTTGGAAATCCAGAAAAGTCGGTCAGATCTCATGAATCAAGTGAAAGAAGCGGAAGAAAACCTTTCTGCTTTACGAGGAAAATTGTCTGGCGTAGAGAGCAGCATTAATCAAATTGTGTCCGACATGCAGAAAACAGAAACAAAAAACTCCAAAGCAAAGTAAGACTCGTTTTCACTTGAAATGTTTGCGTTGATTCATCCGTTTAATTCCCAGGGACTTCTTCGATCGTATGAAGGCGGATATCCGATTGATGCGTGAAGAGTTAAATGCGATTGAACGATCCAAAAATCCAAAAGAACGTTCTTTAAACCAACTCAAAGCATCTCTGGAAGGCATGCAAACCACGCAGGAAGGCCTGGAATCCGAATTGCATCAGGTAAAAAAAAAAAAAAGATTTTTATATCGTTGATCTTGCAATTTATGATACAGTATTTTCTTTGGATCCAATTCTGCGTGTCATATCGTCGTAGTGTTATACAATATTGATCCGTCCTTTTTAGGAATTACTCCCTTCATTGTCTGCGGCTGATCAACGAGAAGTCGATAAACTGAACGATGACATCCGCACGCTTACTCAGGCGAACAAGGAAGCCTTCGCTCACCGAATGAAACTGGAAGCGGAGAAAAATAAACTTGAGAATCTGCTTTCCAATAATCTTAATCGTCGTAAAGACGAGTTGGTCCTCGTAAGTAACAGTTATTCCCGATGTGGTTTTTCGAATTCCAATCGTGCTCTTCATTCTTCAGGCCCTCCAAGAAATTTCGGTCGAAGACAGAAAGCAGCAACTTGACAACTGTAATAGCGAGTTGAAGACCGTAGAAGCGAGCGTAGAAAGCGTACAAAGCCAACTGAAAGCGCTGGACAAGAAGCTTCAAGACCTTTCGAAAAAGGTATGAGAAGCATTTGTTTTGTGTTAGGTATTATTTCTGGAAGAAATTTTTCATGCGAATACTGTATTGACTCACAGCACAAATCAGCTCAAACCGAACTCGACAAGTGGAAGTCGCGAGAAAAGGAAATATTAGGTCGAATGGAAGCGGATGCAAGGGATTTAGAGAAAATGGCCTCCAAGCAAACGTTGTATCAGGACAAAATCTCCGAATGTACCCAAAAAATACGAGACCTCGGCTCGTTGCCGTCAGAAGCATTCACGAAGTACCAGAATCTCACCACGAAGCAACTTTTCAAGCAACTTGAAAAGGCTAACACTGAGTTGAAGAAATATGGACATGTCAATAAGAAGGCATTGGATCAATTCGTTTCCTTTTCTGAGCAAAAAGAAACGCTTCTTGCTCGGAAAGACGAATTAGATCGGGCTCACGAGTCGATCCAGGTGAAAATTTACGAGGAATGCGCTGATTCCGAAAAAAAGCTCAGGCCATTATTCCACTCAGTTTGGTGTAATTTTAGGGTTATATACAGCATTCTAATTCAGAGTTCGCTGGAGATGCGCAGATCATCTGAATATTGTTGAGAGGCGGATTTTTTAATCACCCCAACGTTCATACGTTAATCATATTGTTTCATATTCCACGTGCATGAAAAAGTTTTATCTTTCCTGGTAAATTGCATGGTGTCCCTTTGAATGATTCAACCACAAATTTTAGAGCATTGATTTAGAAACTTTGCTTGATGTTCGAAGCGCTTTGACTTTACAGAGGAGAGGACAAGTTTTTTGTGTAATTATCAAATTCATATGCGGTGGAGTTGGTGATTCACTCCTATAACTTTTCCGTCCCATTCCACCAAAGTTGATGGGCATTCTGGTACTGTATTAGTTCTTTAATCATGTGTTCTAGATCTGGCTTCATGTTTACAGTTATTGTCTATGGGTGTTGCCTATTAGATTTTTATGAATATCAAGTTCAATTTGTATCGGGTCCGATGAAGGTGAATAAGTTATTTTGGTCAATTTTCATGCTTCGCTCTAATCCAAACCATGTATCGTATTTAGGGTATTAGAAAAAAGAAAAGCGGAAATGTCAAATGACATTTTCTTTTCGGCAAAAGAAGAGAGGGTGATGACATGGACACAATTGGGGATTTTTTAGATTTTTCGCGAAAATTCTCGATTCTATTACTTCGGTGATGGATAACTCGTATTTTCGCTAGGAACGAGAATCAAAATCTAATTTGTTTTTCACATGATCGGGAAAACCTCATCATTGAGTTTTAAAGAAATGCTCACAGTTCACGAATCTCGAAATGTTCTGGAATGTTCAAATAAGAAGAACCGACAGTGAGGGATTAATATTTTTAAGAGGAATTTTACTTCGTTTTACAGCAACTGATGCAAACACTAGAGCAGCGTAAATATGAAGCCATTCAATTCACTTACAAGCAAGTCAGCAAGTATTTCGGGGAGGTTTTCAAGCAGCTTGTTCCTGCTGGAAGTGGTCAACTGGTTATGCGCACGGCGTCAAAGAAGGACAAAGATGACGAAGAAGACGTGAGTTATTTTGCCTCAGTCCTACTGTATACTCGGTGAATCATTGTCTGCAATTTCATCCGGGATGTGATCGAAGTGGCGGGAAGGCATGGGAACGGTTGCCCAGATTAGTTATTTCTCATGCCCACTTTCCCTAGTCTGGTTGCATTTTGAAGTCCGTTTAATGCTTCAACCCAATGGTTACGTTATCTGGAATCGATCGGAGACACCTGAATTGGATTGTGACGAAGTTTTCGTTCTCTTTGTTTCTTTGCAGAATGAAGAGTCATTTGACAACTTTACGGGTGTGGGGATTCGTGTGAGCTTTGTTGGGACCCGGGGGGAGATGCGGGAAATGAACCAACTGTCTGGTGGTCAGAAATCATTGGTGGCTCTGGCACTCATTTTTGCTATCCAGAAGTGCGATCCGGCGCCGTTCTATTTATTTGATGAAATTGATCAGGTGACATAAATGTGATTCGATTGAAGCGTGCGGATGATCGTTACTTTTAATGTTCTTCTCGGTTAGGCCCTGGACGCTCAGCATAGAAAAGCAGTGGCTGAAATGATACACGAGCTTTCCAAAAACGCTCAGTTCATCACCACGACTTTCAGACCAGAACTGCTCGAGTCTGCCCGGAAATTCTACGGTGTTAAATTCCGAAATAAGGTTTGCTCTTGATTTTCTGAATCCTTGACGTTCGAAATTACTTCGTTTCCCGAGAGTAGAATGTACTGTTATCGCAAACTAAGCTCTAAAGAAATGTCCAGGAACAATATTTTTCACGTGCACTACGCTGTGAATAATTGCCCTTGCCAATTTATCAACTTGCAGTTTTTGCTTTAACCGTATTTTTCATTTTTATGTCACCGAATTGTATAACAATTATATTTTTGTTGTGGTGGCGTAAAGCTTTTGCTTCGTGATCCTTAATATGTTTCTGTTCAATTTTTCAGGTGAGCCACGTAGAATGCGTGTCCAAGGAGGAAGCTGCAGACTTCGTAGAAGACGACGCTCAGCATGCGTGAGGTGTTCGGACTGGTGTGTAAATAGTTGTTCATCAACGCCAAAACATTGTATGTTTTTGTAGTTCTTTTTATGCTGAGCGTCCATTCCTTTCGCGTCGTTTTGACCTTCAGGCAATTTTTACTTATGGACGGTAATTCGTGTATTCTACTGTGGGTATTTTTTATTTTTCCCCGTTTTCATTTTTTTTTTTTTTAATATGAAAAGTTCAAATAAAATTGACGCGCATCTAAATTTTTACTTCTGTTCAGTTTGACTACCGGGAAAAAGAGGCAACCAAATTTCTGTTTTTAAGGATTTTCACGATTATGTGACGGGTTATACGCGAGAAAGTTTTCAAATTCGTGAGACCATGTTGTCCCTCGCAGTTTAACCTTGCTCCTATCTGGAAATGGGGTGTTGCTTCAGCTCCGACTACGCAGGTGAAATTTTGAACGAAGATTTGTCTTGCAATGTTTCTTATTACTGTAATTAATGATGCCCTGTAATTTTTCTAGGACAAAATGGACTACCATTTGTGAAGGTTGGGGAAAGCACACCCACGGCAACGACGGAGAATAAGGGAGTCAATCATGTGTTCACTAGCACCGCATCTACTCCAAATGGTAAGCTCTGGTTACCATTGGGTAACCGGATCATTTTTATCTCCCGAAAAAAAGGGAAATTAATCATCATTTTTGCAGTGTCTGCCGGGTCAACATCGAGTAGGAAAATTGCTGTTGCTATATATGATTACGCCCCTCCTGAAGAAGGACTATATTTGGGCATCGTGAAAGGGGAGAAATTGGAGGTCATCGAAGCTCAGTGAGTTAGCAGTTCGGGCTGTTGAATTTTTTAATAAAAAAATTAAAAATAAATCTTCACTGTCGGGATTCTTTGAGATTGACAGTATCAGAAAGTAAGTACTGTACATTATCGTGGATGTCGGTGTTGAGCGTTAAATCGAAAAATTTTCTGTATTTTAGAATTACAGTATATGTCGAACCTGAAATGCCCGTTCAATTGGTTCATTAGTATTCATATTTTTGCTGCATTTTTAGTGATTCTGATTGGTGGCGTGTGCGTTCGCTGAAAACCGGAAGAGAAGGATATGTGCCGACCAACTACATAGCAGATGATCAATCTGTAGAGAGTGAAGATTGGTTTTTTGGCAATGTCTCGCGTAAAGAGGCTGAAGATTTGCTCATGAAGCCCGGCAATAATCGGGGTACTTTCCTGGTTCGTCACAGTGAGCAGAACCCGGGATCGTACGCGCTTTCCATCAAAGACGTCGATGAAGCGCTGCAGGAAAAAGTGAAACATTACAAAGTTCAAATACATCCGGAGACCGGCGAATTTTACTTAGCTCCGCGTCACGGATTTCCGAGCTTACGTTGTTTGGTCAGCGCTTGTATGAGTGAGTTTCACTTGAAACATTTTTTTTTTCAACAATTATTTTGGAAATTGACTAATAGTTGAGAGTTCGAGGATAATTTAAAATTATCAGGAGGTCATTATTGAATTTTTGATGCGCCCGGTTGGCCATCCAATGTTGAAAATTTATTGATTTCGCAAATTGCTGATTGAGTGTGAAATGAGCTCTCTTGTTTTCATTTGCTGACTTTACTTTACAGCCAACAAGCATGGATTGTGCCACTTGTTGGTAAAACCGTGTCCGCGACCAAAGCCACAAATCTGGGATCTGTCTCCAGAAACTCGTGACCACTGGGAGCTAAATCGGGGTGATATTCAGTTGATTCGCAAATTGGGTTCCGGCCACTTTGGTGTTGTTTGGTATGGTACGCATGAGAAGTTCGTCTCATTTAATCGATCTGTAACTGGCTCCAGTTCATCGATTGTGAATTTTGATGCGCTAGTCAGGTTGAGTTGAGCGTGTTTATGATTTTAGGATTGTGGAAAGGACAAGTAGAAGTTGCCGTGAAGACAATGAAACCCGGAAGCACTTCAACAGAATGCTTTCTTAAAGAAGCCAGTATAATGAAGAAGTTTCGGCATGACAGAATTGTTACTCTCTATGGGGTTTGTACTCGGGAAGAACCTATTTATATTGTGACGGAATTCATGTGTAAAGGAAGTCTGTTGGATCTTCTGCGCTCACCTGAAGGTGCTACCCTCACTTTCGAACAATTGCTTTACATTGGCTCTCAGGTACGTTTCCTCTTCATGCAAAACTTGTGTCAGTGATAAATACTGTACATATTCACAATACAATACATGAGATAATGAATGTTGAAGTGATAATCTCAGAAACCAGGCTGCTGGGGAATTTTTCAAGTTCATTATTTAGTGAGACTCATATCGGAATTAACACTACTGTACTGTAATATCCTTGCGTCCGCATCTTGAAATCATGCCGATCCACAGCCCCCTCGGGGAAATTAAATGGGGGATGGGATTACGTACTGCATTCGGTATTTCTTCACTATTCGTATTGGGGAAAGGGTTTGAAAACGGTATTTATTACTTATATTAGTCTCAATTCACCAATTGTGTAACCGATGTGCAACATGGCAACACACATTTTCGTAGGTTGCGAGCGGAATGGCTTACCTGGAAAAACTTTGTCTCGTCCACCGTGATCTGGCTGCTCGGAATATTGTTGTTGGAGAAAACAATGTTGCAAAAGTGGCTGATTTCGGGCTAGCCCGTGTAACAGAAAACAACGAATATTTTCGTCGAGAAGGGACACAGGTCCCTGTCAAGTGGACCGCCCCGGAGGTTATCCATTATGGAAAGTACTCCATAAAGTCAGACGTTTGGTCGTTCGGGATTCTTATGATGGAGTTGTTCACCTACGGTCAAGATCCGTATGCCGGTGAGTAATTTTGTCATGTTGATACTGTATTTTGGCTTTTTAAATTGTCCTCGTTCCTTCCCCTGCGTACTTCTCAATTTTTGACTGGATCACGTTTATGTTACGTAGAATTCTGCCCCCCATCATAAAATACATATTGCTCTATCTTCCTGAGCAATGCTTTTCAATGTCCCTTTTTGCGCTCATTTATTTATTTATTTTGTGACTCAAACTTTTTTAGTTTGAATTTGTGCACAGAAGGTTGTTCATAGTACTGTATGTCGGGAATCGGTATCTCTTACAAGCACGAAATTATTGGCGAAATAGTTTTTCGATTTTAAAAAAAAACGAATTTTTTTGCTCTGGAACGATGAGAGTTCGTTCGAAGATTTTAGGGTTAGTAACATGTGCAGTTTAGCTTTTTAATATTCCCAATTGTCCTGGAATTTATTTTTCAGGAATGAACAAGAGCCAAGTGATCAAAAAACTGGAAACTGGGTACAGGATGCCCAAACCGGTGAATGTCACGTTTCCTGATTCTCTTTACAAATCTCTCGTGTTACCATGCTGGGACTCGGACCCTGATCGACGCCCGACGTTCCAGTACGCTCACAATTATTTGGACGAGTTTATGGTTTCATCTGAATCTTGGCCAAATCGTCGACCGATGATTTGAACTTGATTTTGCTCCAAAGAATTTTTTTACTGCAAGTGCATTAGTTGACTTAGTGTACCTCAACTAGGACGACGATTCCGCAAGGGTTTAAAGAAAAAGAGAAACGTTCGCCAGCTGCCTTCCATGGGATTGTGACAACCGTTGTTTGCTTCTTTTTCTTGAGGCAGTTGGAACATTTTGCATGTTTTGAGAAGAACCCTGTCGTGATAGTGAGGTAATCCTTCCTCGCGATGCGTTGAATGTTGGAACATTCTTGTACAAGAATGAAGGAACGACGGATCGTTCGTGATTCTCTCCTGAATTCCAGTTTATTTAGTGAATCTATGATACATTCCAACACTACCAAAAAGTTTTGGAAATTTAGCACAAGTACGGCTACTTTTGTTAAAACTAATGTCGACTTTTGAGAAACGCAGAAGAATTTGAACTGACATACTTAACCTTCACCCATTCGGGGTTCGAATCGTGATAAGTTTTGCATTGGAAGTGTTCAAATGTTTTTCACCCAAGTATCTTTCGTATCCGGAATGAAGTCCCGCAAGTCTTGTAGCGACGATTCAAAGGAAAATCAAATATCCTTGGAGCATATAATTAATTATCCTTCCGTTTTCATTTTCGACGTGAGCTTCGAATGTAGGTTGCGTAAGAGTCAAGAATCGGAAGAAAAAGGTTGGGTGATATTTAAGCGATACGAGTTTCATAGTTTTTGATCTCCTCTTCCACAAACGAACAGAGGTTTTGCTAGTGGTGAAGGATTTGCCTTTCACGGGTGATTAGCCCCTACAAGTCACTGAGCTCTCAATAGTGGTTCGGGTGTATATTTTATGGTGGTTTTACAGGGCAATAAGTTGTGAGAATTCTTCTCGTTCAAGTTGCGAATCTTGAGCAAAATTCATTTCAATTGTTCGCGGTATGTTCATGCTGTTCAGGTCGAAGTCATGACCGCGTTGAGAAATATATCTTTTTGTTTCCGCCTGATCTTTCCTTACTTGAATCTATATCTGTCATGGTCAGTCACTTTTCAACAGTGTTCGTCCTCTTGGGCAGAGGCAGCGTGCCTGCTGTGTACCCTGAGTGGTGATATTTCTGAGGATAATGAGAAGTTCTTGATTCATTTTCTGACCACTCCATATCAAGGTTGTTAATTGTGCCACAATTCAGCACAATCTTAAGCCTTGCAATTGCCATTGGGCAATACATTTTTTTACTCATTGCAATAGTTATCATGATTGTGCATTCTTTTTTAGAAGGCTTGCAATTCGGGTAAAACTGAAATAATCACAACTTGTATAAAAATAACTTCAGAAATCTATGCATTTTTCTTGTGAAAATTCATTGAAACCATCATCAAAATTCAATGGAAAATGATAGACTTTTTTCATGAACTGTAGAAGTTGCTAGCTGGAAGAGGATATATTGATTTTTATGACTTCAACTTAAGACAGGTTGGCACAGTAAGAAGCTTGTAGTATTTTTATTGGTATTTGCACTTGGATGAAAGAGTTTAGGCATTCAATGATTGAAGAATACTTCAGAAAAGCTATTAGTTTCATCATAATTTTTGGTACTGTACTCCTATATCATGGCAAGATGTTCTCTGCATTTGTCTGGTGAGAATCCAAATGCGATGAGAAAAAATGACATGCATATGATTCGAAAGTATTATTTTGATTAGATTTTCTTCGTTATTCTCTTCATCCATTTGCAATATTGATGTTTTGGAAATAATTTGAGATTAATAAGGGATGATTACACTAACGGTGAAAAGCGCAGGATGGAAATCTTGAAAAGAGTTGTGATGACCCTTGCAATTGTGATTGGGCAAAACTACAAAGAAATGCTTTGTGATTGTGATTGGGAATTTTTGTGTGTGCTAGATTGTGATTATGAAAGTATCTTTTGGATTGCGATTAACACCCCTGCTCCATTTGATATTAAACAAATGAAAAATTAAGAAGGCTAATGTATAGTTTTGCTTCATGAGAGGAATAAAACCTGTCTCCAAGAAGTTACTGTATTTTTAAAAATGCGTGATACCACTTGGGAAATGCAAGTGATGGTTACGCCGCTTAAATCTGAAATCATGAGGTTAGAACATTTTATTAAGAAATGAATACAGCAGTATCGTATTTAATTTCAAATAATTTTAGTGACTGTTTCCTTTTAGAAGAAACAGAATCACTCCTTTCATGTGAAATATTGGAGAAAGAACAATGTCACTGTGTATCTCTTTATTCATGAGCATGCGTATATGAGATAACATTTTTATGAAATTTGATTTGTGTATAAAAATTTATGTTGGGTTCGTTCTAATATAGTTCATGGCTGAATTTCATGCGGACGCCAAATGGAATACAGGTGTATACTGTACAGACAGTCAAATAAGAAGAAATAAAAAGCAGTAATGTACAGCCATATTTAATGTCAATAAGGGAATGACAATAACTTTGAATCTTGAAGAAATTACATTACTGCATTTTTTCTAGTCATCCTTCTCTGCATATATGAACCATTGAAGCCAATTGAATCTTCATTATCAGTTCATCCTGCTCAAATTTGGGATTAAATTTAGTTGTATATATAAGACTGTGCTGTATGTATATTGATGGTTATTCCATAATTTGGTCCTTGATGGACCCTGAGCAGTATGAACCTTTTTTCATTATTCGCACTCATTCCAGTACAAAATAAACATCAACATATACTGTGTAAATAATACTAAATACAGGTGGACACTCTCTATACAACAAATTGCTGGGGACCAGAAAAAATTAGTTGTGGAGATAATTTTTTTGCAGACAATCTGTATAAGAATTAAACATTGAACAGTCTATATGTCAGCTAGAAAAATTACTTTGTTGCTTATGTTGTAAATATAACAATGCCTGCTGATTGAAAATAATAAGTCAATTTAAGTATCACCACCAGCACAGAAAAATATATTAAATTTAAATTAAGCACATAAGAAATTCACAGAATACAGACAAACTATACTAATAAGTCTGATGCAAACTTGGTAAAAAATAAAATAAAAGTACACAGATTGTATATATACATAAAAATGCATGCTTACATGGAATGAATTAAGAACTTAAGAATCATCCTGGATACAGCAATATGAAATAATTTAAAGAACTAGATGTACACAAAATATTTAAGGACATTAGGAATTCCAAAAATTGCAGATGGGAGCAGTTATTTTGAAAAAGTAAGCATAAAATCTACATAAAGTAAAAAATGCAAGAGTATGCCAAGAATTACTGTACTTAAAACTGCAACCAAGGCAATACACATATTTAAAATTTCAGAAAATTACAAGGTAGGTTTAAAAACATTTTGAAACTGTAAATGTGATGAAGAATTTTATAAATCCCATCCTGCATGGATTCATTAAAATTGATTTAAGCTGCTCAGCATGCAGCAAGTATAAACAATCAAACTCTTGTCAAAGGTGCAGAGAAGCAAAATATATGGATTATGTTAACAATCAGCATGATAGTTTAACTATGATAAAAAATGCTGTCTAGGAAATGCAGTCAAGCCTAAAATCATTTGAAGCTTAAAAATTTTGTATTTTTTGCACAGCAGCTCTCTTTGTCCCAAACAAAGTTTATATTTTCAATTTTTCCATCTCTTCAAAAAGTTGAGAGTGCTGACCAAAATTTTCAAAATTTAAACTTCCTTTTCTTTGATTTCTGTATCAACATAAGCATCTAGCTTTTACTAGAAATTAAGGGTTTTCTCTTACTGCTCCTCACATTCAAAATTTTCAGCAATTATTTTTCAAACAATTAACTATCACTGCATTTGGAAAAATGCATTCAATGCAAAATTCAAAACTATGGGCATGAGGCTCATGACTCATCGTTGACATCATTTGACTCATTTGAAAGTGTAGGTATCTGTAGGATACACTTTTGAAATTTTCTTCTGCTCAATTAACAAACACGATCAAAATTATTTTAAAATTGAAAAATGCTTGTTGTAGAAAATTATTAATCCCATGCACTGACCCATTTGGACACACAATTTAAGGGGAATAAGCCCAACAAACACATCAGGTAGCAAAACCCTTTGAGGAAACCGCAGAAGAATTCCCATTCAAATATGTTTGTTACAAAAGGGCACAGACAAAAAGCTTAAATCTAAAATAATCCAATTATTGAAGAGACGTGCAGAAGAGATTCTTGAAAATACTGTAAGGTGGCCAAGAGTGGAGGCGATGGACCTGAAATTTCTCGGAAAGAGGGTAGGATTCTCGTTTTTCATTCAAAAAATTGATTTAAAATTCTCTTTCCTCTCCACCAAAATTTTCTTCCTTTTGTCTGCCAAAATTGGCCTTCCTCGGGCCACCAAATGGCAACCAAAATGGCCGATTTTTATTTTGTTCCTCTGCTGCCAGTCGAAAAAAAAATTGTTGTAGAGAGTGAGAGAGAGTGAGAAAGAAAATTGATTCGTTGTAGACAGAGTGCTTTATCATTATGGTCTAAGGCATCTTCTGGCAGGACCAAAGCAAATTCGTTATACAGAGAAATTCGTTGTAGAAAAGATCGTTATTGTAGATGAGAGAGTCCACCTGCATGAAATACTGTATGCCTCTTTCATTTCTTATTAAAATATTTCCGCTTTAAAAAAATAGCTGAAAGGAACTGATAGTATTGAAATAATTCTTAAAATTACAGCAGATTATTGTCCTTCGAATATTCGAAAAGCCGAAAGTTCAAAAATGTTTCAAAATCGTTCCAAAAATAAGCAAATACAATACTGTATAAGGAATTTTCTCAAAAGCAAAATAATAGATCACAAAATAAAAGGAGCTAAAAAAAAGTATATTGCAGTTTTGAATACTTTAGCCTAGCGTATTTCAGTTGGAATTAATAAAGGTCGCATAATTTACTAACTACTGTATAATGTATTAACTACTGTATAATGTATTAACTACTGTATATTGTATTAACTATACTGTATACTATTTTAATTATGGCAGTATGGATTTATACCATTGTTGTGCCAGCAGAAAAATCCCCAACGCGTTTTCTTAGAAAAAAAAAGCTGCATATTGATTCCTTGTGCATTCTTTTGAAATCTGATTCGTGGATCTTACACTATAAAAGCCTATAATCATCATATTATGTTCTTGAATTGGTCAAATCGCTCGTCAAAGAATGCTATTTTCAATTTCATCCATCAGCGCATTTTTTTTTATTCCAGCTGGTCATGTGTCATTCTTATATGATCATGAGTAAAACAATGATTATTTTACGCATAAATTAAAATGCTTTAATTGGATCAATATTTTCAGCAGCAGAAATGCAACTCCCCGGCACAGCACGCGCAACTTATGAAGCAACCGCCGCGGAGAAAATCGATCTACAGCACTTTAAAAATATTTTAGAAGGCATTTTACAGATGGTAAATATACGTACGAAGTACTGATGCATATAACATAAATTAGACATGCAGCGCAGTGATGACGACTTTATCTGAAATTGCAACTACAGTACAGTATTGTACTAAAGTACTAAACTGCTGGATATACGTACGAGACAGTACAACATGAGTACAGTATATGTACAGGGTAAAAGGTATTTTCCCCCAATGACATATCTTCTTTATTAATTAAGTACTTTTACGCGTATAGGGAAATAGTGTTCCATTGCTAATGTTTAATATGCACAGTACTGTAGTTACATCGGCACTCGATCTGCACAAGGCTGCTTTAGTGCTGATAGGCGGGAATACGCGCGGCGCTGCTGCATCGAGAGGCTGCTGAAATGAAAGTTGACAGGGGGCGGAGTGCTTTCATTTAGATCCTGCAGATGTCATTTGGACCAAAGTTAACTGCACTGTTTGTAGATGTCGTAAGCTTAAAGTAGTCATGGCTGCGCACAGGTAACTTCGGAATTGGTAAACTCTGGTACACTAGCCCGTCAACTTGAGCAAGTTTCAGTTGATATGAGTTGAACTGCGAACGCCCTTATCGCCCGAATCTTCCCGCGCCAAGATATGAATAACATAGAAAAGAGATTGCGTGAAAGTCGTGTATTTTCAGTGAGCGAAGACTTTTAAATTTCGAGTCCTGCACTGAATCGAAATGCCAATCGCCCCTATAACTCCATAGCATTCCGTAATGCTTCCGAAGCTCGCTTCAACTTCCTGACGACCGCCGAAATNAGAGATTGCGTGAAAGTCGTGTATTTTCAGTGAGCGAAGACTTTTAAATTTCGAGTCCTGCACTGAATCGAAATGCCAATCGCCCCTATAACTCCATAGCATTCCGTAATGCTTCCGAAGCTCGCTTCAACTTCCTGACGACCGCCGAAATACACCAAGGCTATATTAAACCTGTGAATTCCTGAACTTGTTGGAAGGAGCCTGATTATTGTCGAAACGCAATGGAATCCACCCATTAAGACTCCTCAGGCTCCAAAATCGAAATACGTGCTGCATTATTTTGCAAGCTGATTTTTGCGTCGAAGGGATCGAAATGAACTGTTGTGTAAAATAAGCTTCTTTTTGTTTTCGACGTGTTGTATATTTCGAAATTGCCGGCGATACAAGTGGTGCGGAACGTCTACAATTGATAGTCGGATTATGTTCAGTAATTCGAACTTACGTTCTGACGTATTGCAATGAGTTTTTTTTTTTTTTTTGAAGGAATTTTTGGGAATGCATGTATGGCGCAGTGGTTGTTCGCATAGTTTCATGACGACAGTCGGTAGTGATCATTCAGGATTCATGCATCGATAGGTACGTATTTTTGCTAATGTTTTAGAAATATTTGACGCATGGAATAATTTAGTTTGTCTTTCAGAGTGTAGCCGCAATGAATTCGAATCGTCGGAGGAAAAAGCGTGTGAGCCATGGCATTAGAGCGGTGGACATTCGCCGTGGACGAAATGGCTTCGGATTCACAATTTCGGGGCAATTCCCTTGTAAACTCAGCTGCGTTGTTCCAGGAAGTCCAGCGGATGAGGTTGGACTTAAACAAGGAGACTATCTCATAAGTGTCAATGGCAACAACGTCGTGAAGACTCTACACGATGAAGTTGTTCACCTGATTGGTACATCACAGGGATCTTTGCATCTTCAGATTTCCGAAAGCTACTTCTCAGATACATCTGATGAAGATTGCCCGCCGGCGACTCGTGTTCGTCCTCGCTACCCCGGTTCTCGGGTTCGACATCGTCATAAAATCGCCTCCATGAGTCACCTAGATGGAGCATCATTTTCCCGATCTGCGAACGGTGTGGACCAATTTGGCTTTAATGAAACCGTTGGTCAAAATTATCGAGGTTACCATGCACTCAGTGAATCTTTCTTACACCCTTTGCGTCGAAGCCCTCGAAAGCGTGATCGAATCATAGCCGCGAGTCGCGGCAGGCTCAGCTTGGATGTAGATTCTCAGCAGTCCGCCGAATACTCCCGCACCATTCAAAACGAGGAAATTCTCATGCGAACTGTCGTGGGTTACTTGGGAACTATTGGAATGCCTAAAGATACGCACATGATTCCGAATTCTCGCCTTCAAGCCGTACGAAGCTGCATTCGCCGCCTGCGTGTCGAGAAGAAAGTTCACACCCTCGTACTGTTCTCGATATTGCGGGAGAAAATAATCCTGCAGAATCCACATGGAATGATTCTTGCTTCGTATCCGTGTGACCGCGTGACGTTTTGCGGAGCATATGCCGACGATGACAAGTTTTTCGGCATTGTAACTCGTAGTTCTTCCAGTGATGCCGAGGGATCCTCTGCGACAGCATCTCGCAGAGTCAGTGCTTCCAGTTCGTGCCATGTGTTCATGGTCGACGCGAAAATGCATTCGCATCCTGATCATGTGAAGAGAGCTCGTGCATTCCGCATTGAATGCACGCGATCGGAGGAAGAATCATACCAGTGTGCTGAATTCCCCTTGTCGGCTGGCCCAATACTGCAAGCAATCGTCAAAGTCTGGGGGAAATCCAACCCAACCGACACTTCATCAGCTCCAGGATTAATCAATGCCGATTCTCCTTCCGTTCATGAACCGAACGCTTCTCCTCAGCCAAGCCTCGCGAGCAACTCGAGCAATTCCGATTCCGGCATAGGGTTCCGTGATGACGCGCTTTCCTGTGCTGATCGGGAAGGTGCTTGGGATTATTCAAATTGTTTGGGAGCCGAAGCATTTCCCATAGAATTGGAATCGAGGCCTCGGACTTCTTTTGCTTGTGGCTCTATGGACCGAAGATTTGCAAAGGGCGCGTCTGAATCTTCTCTTGTTGATAAACTGTGCGTGAGAGCGATGCCGACTTCACAGACAGGCTCACCGTTGACAAAACCTATGGATAGGCTAAGTGCACAGGTTTACATTTCTCCAAAAGTGAACTTGAACTTTACGCGGAGCCTGGATGATATTCGTGACCAAACGGACGACTCTCGACGATGTGCATCGGAAGACTTCGAGTGTATAACGTTTCCTTTGGATTCCTCGAGAATGATGTCGCGATTCGGAGTCTCCACGAGTTTTCATGGATCAGAGAGCAACCTGAGCGTGAGGACCGATGAGAGAAGTGATGTAAAAGCGTCGAATCGAAACAAACGATACTCCATGCTCCCTTACCCGGGATACTGCGAGGTAAGTAATTTTGATTTAAACTTGACCCGCTTACCTTAGCTTTCTGCGAGAGTAATTTGATGTGAATAATCACCATCCTTCCTTTTTCGGCCGTTTGAAAACCGTCGCAGAGTTACATCGGAGTTGAGAATTCCCGAGGAAATTCCCGAGTGTACAGGATATACCAAAATTTACAGTGGTGGCTAAGTCAGCGTTCTCAATGTGTTGGGTTGAGCAGAGATGCATTGCCATCATGAATGAAGACCGTACTACCCTATTTGCGATGAAGAAAAATTGTCTGAAGCAATTTCAAAGGCAGATTGGTTCGAATTATTCAATTTGTCCTTATTGTAATATTTTGTGGTTAAGAAATTGAACCCTAAACCTTTCAAATGCTGTATACATGTACAGTTCTGCAATAAAGCTTATGCGCTCGCATGAAGAAAGCAGAAGCTTACGAAGCTTCGGAGTATTCAATGAGCTACAAAAGGATTCACTTGCGAAGTTGTGAATTTAAGTTATTCACCCACAGTTGAACCAAAGGTATTGTACGATGGGGGGAAATTCGTCAACTGATTTTAATGTTCACTACATTAATTTGTATCCTATAGTTTGAGTTTTACTATATATTTATGCTTATTGCTTCACAACTTCTGATGAGCTATTTGTGAAGTATGTCACGCGTGGTCGAGTGAGGTTTGCCAGGTACGGTAATTTGAAAATTAATGAACCATTCTGAAGGAAGAACCGATTAGCATGCCACAGCACATTTCAAACCTCTTGACGAAATGGATGTCACAAATCGCCCTCTTCGAAAACGTATGTTGGTTAACAGTCGTTTAAAGGCATGCGTGTCCTTGAACAAAACAACTGATCCATTCTCCGGTCGTCGCTTGAAAGTATCAAGTTGCATGCCTTACGTTCTTCATTGAAGAACCTTCCTAATTTGAGCGAAGAAATATGCGGAAGCACCTGATGATTGATTGTCAAGCAGATTTTTTGAATAATAAGAAGAGTTTTTGCTTCGTCGATTCATAATTCAGACCCCGTCCCTCTGAAGAGCGCATCCGAATGTCAAATCGAAAGACGGCTCGCTTTTTTTTGTACTTGAAAATGGAAAATTCGCTCCTCTTTCAAAACTTTCCGTCGAACCGCAAATTAAAAATCCCCCCCCCCTCAATTTCTTGCAGATATTTTCTAAATTATGCGCTTCGGGCATATGGAAGAGCCAAGAAGCCGCCGTAATCTGCGGACTAACCGCGGCATATTCCCATTTGGCTGTTGCTTCATAATGCGGCACAAGTGAGTGTGCGCTCATGGGGGCAAGTTGCTCGTGAATATTTGCAACCGTGGGAAGCGGTTTTCATGTTCGAACGTGCACATCCGCGGCCTCGGGAGGTGGGACGTGGGAAAAAACGCCTGGGTTCTCTGGCGATCGGCGAGTGATTTACCGACGCGATTCCGAATCCAAGAAGGTGGTATCCGTGATCTTGGAGGGGATGTCTGTTGGTGGAAGTTGGATTGCGCAGTCATTTCTGGCTTAACATGTATTCTGGAACAAAATATCCCTTTTTCGGAATGTCACTTTCGTTGGGTTTCATTTGCATGATAGAATTACAGCACTTACCTGTACAGTTAAACCTCGATGACTCAAATCTCCTTTGGTCGAATATACAGTACCTCTTTCGAATTTCGAATTTTTGTCGAGTCCATGTCTGAATTACCGTAGAAGCAATGAATTAAAAACCTCCCTAACTCGAAGGTTATCCCTTCAAAACTGCGTAACTCCAATTCTCTGAAGGCCTATTGACTATTACAGTATTTTGGTGACATAGGAAATATAAATACAGAAAAAATGTATCTCAATGTGTTTTGAACGGAAGTGAAATAATATTTAGGCAAAGAAACCCTTTCCTCCGAGTTCAACATAATTTCAACTCATTTATCCAGTTTGAGGCCAACAAAATCACGCAATTTATTGTCCCGTTATTTTTAATATTTATATATGGCAAAAATATCTATTCTCCTTAACGAAACCTCTTTACCCCGAATTCTTCTGCTGGTCCCTTGATGTTCGACTTGAAGAGGTTCGACTGTTCATGAAAAAATTAATTTCACGAATCCATGCTTAGAATAAAAAAAATAAATTGCCCTTGCGTCTGCTTGTACAAAATTCTAGACATCTGAGGGAAGAATTTATATTTGTGTGCAAGAAAACATACGCGCGCATAAATGAACACAAAAAATTCCGAACATTCATCAAGCTCCAGCTTCTACGCGGATGTTCGAAATTTACGTACCTATTTATGACGGACTTGATGCATTTTAGGCCGAAAGTCACTGTCAAATATATGAAATATTCACATCCGCCAGAATATATGTTCCCGTGCGATTTTCTTTTTTAAAAAATTCGCGTAATATCAGTCTTTACATCAGTTGAACAGTACTGAAACATTTGCTTGAATGAATGACCGCATGTTACTTTGTTGGTTAAAAACCAATTCGACCACATGATTTGACGTACGCGAAATATGTACACAACAGTATTTCACTTCGATTTTTTTTCTTTGTTGGGCGTCACCTTCGCGGATGTGGACGGCGCTCGATTTACCAACCCTATGTGGAGACTCGAATAGATCGCCGAGTCGGTTGTCCCACCGCGCAATCTTATCTTCAGCGGCAGGAAATCTAGGTGTTGCCGTGGTTTTATATTATTTTTCCATTTTATACCTGGGTTTTTCATCCGTGGAAATTCATCTGAGCTTCAGCCGATGGAGTGAAATTTTCCCAGTCGAAGCCGTGATTTCCCGCCGCTACGAAGCCCTTGAGCGCTGCCGATTACGGGTTATCCGATGCTCTGCGCTCCGTGTAGAACAGTCGCGAATAGAACCGGGTTCATTTATTCGAGTGCCAAGCCGAAAAGAAGGTGGTCGGTGCATACTTTTTTCACATCCGGGTGAAACAGAGCATATTTCTTACTGTTATAGTACTTATAGCTTTTCGCGAATTCACTGAGCTATGTTCAGTGCTGGAATACAGTATTGTAGGAACACCCACTGGAGCCGTGGAATGCAGGGCGATACAGTACAATTGACCTTGCTTCGGGTAAAGTGGAGTACTGTACAATTGAACCTTTTCAAGTCGAATTCCAAGGTACCAGCAAAAAATTCGACTTACGGAGTTTTTAGTCTGAAAAAGTGGCTATTTCTGCTTTAAAAAATATTAGAGGAATTTGAAATACTGTGATAATCTTTTGGCCCAAAACTGCTTTGTAAAGGAGTTGACGGGATGCTGAACTTGGAAGCAAAGGGTTTATTTGCCGGTTCTTTTACTTCGTTTCAAAGAGCATCAAGTAACCTTTTTATTGCTTTTCTCTTTCCTGGGTAAAAAAAAAGTAGGCAAAATGCCTACTGAAAATTCGAATTCAACTATCGTTAACTGTGATGGTGAAGGGTTTCTCCCCTGCTGTCTTTTGACCGTGACACCTGAACTATTCAACAATATGGTGGAGTGAAATCGGAAATCATTTACGATACTGATCAAGTTATCAGTGGATTTAGATTAGTATGCAGCTCTAGCAAGGACCTTTCACAGTGTTTTTTTTTTGTGGATGTTTTTTTCCTACGGGATCCCATTGTGACGCGGAAAAGTTTTCGCGTGAATTCCGAGAAATTCATAATCGACACTAAATTACCATTCATTATTAGTGCGAATATGTCTGGGGAATCTGAATTTAGATGTCTTCGACGATTTAAAGAAGTGCTTATGCGTTCGTTGCCACTAGAATCCCCTGAAGTTGGACCAATTTTGAATCAGCTTGCGGCTCACGATCTGCGGCGAATGTTCGATGTTGTCTGGAATTTGAAACTCGTGCAACATTTAAAATTTGAAGCTGTTGGTTCTACGAAACAAGCGGACAAGGCGGAACGATTCCGGATTTTAGGAAATGAGTATTTCAGGTGAAACTCCCTACTATTTCTGCTTCTAATATAAGTTTTGCGCTGCTTTTAGTTCGTGCGAAGTTTGGAAGTGGAATCGGTTGATTGAGTTTCAATTTTTCGTATGATAGTTAAACTTGATTTTTTGTGAATTTACAATTAATTTTGTAAATTCGAAGTCTGCTTTTGAGTAGAACTTCACGAGAAGTGTTACGAGTACCATTGGTGGCACTCGGGCACTGAGCAGGTGGCACGCAGAAACTGACCTGGAGTAGTGTCGTATACCAACTGCCCTTTGCCTTCTGGGATTACGTATGGAACAGATGTTAGAGCGGAATATGTCATCTTGCAGACAAGGGCATGCCAACATTTTCACGAATATTTCTTCAAAGACGTGTCATTGTTCACATACTGTAATGCCTCCTTGATGTATCACTCACGTGGTCAAGTACCGCAAGTGTAGGTTTTATTTTTATTGCTTGAAAACCTCCGACTGAATCTACGGGGGCGGTATGTTTTAACTTTATTGATGGCTATATGGACATGATTTACGAAGTCCTCGACTTTCTGAACGAGGGATTTTTCCAACGTCGGCCCCCAAGCACTGGAGTCAAAGTTACACAATATTCGTGAATTTTCATGCATCACTTTGAAGTCCCGGAATTACTAAAGCTGGTTAAACGTGCCCATTTTTTGAAAATCTCTCTGTGGACGAGCTAGTAAAAAAAATTGAAATTTCTATCCCAGGCGTTCTGTGGTCATTCAAGTTTTTCAGAAAAATTTGACCCACGGAACCCTTTTTGAATTAAATTTCCGTGGAGGAACATATTTGAATATCCGCTCACAGAGATGTGTCTCTCCAGCTTCTACGTAGTATTTCTAATTATCAACGTTTCAGTTTTCCTTTCTGTAAGTAGTGTAGATATTAGTCAGTATATTCTTTCGTGTCATTCATCGCGATATTACACTTGATTTTTTTCATCTTCCTCATATCCATTCATTGGAGTAGTCACGTACAACGCTCAGACTGAGTAGCACAGACCGAGATTTTGTGGGCTAGTTTTTGGTGGAGTGCTATCGATTCTTTCTTCAAGTAATACTGTAGATGCAAAAATGGCGTATCCGATGTATGTCAGCGGTGCGGGAATTATCCGTGGGAACCGTGACGCCGACTGGTGCACAATGTATTTTTATCGGAGTAATCTGCTGAAGGTCGATAATGATTATAATTCGATTTGAAATGAACGGAAAACAGGGGAAAGAAGTACGATGAAGCGCTCAAAGCGTACAACGTTGCCGTACTACACGCTTCAAAAGAAGAGTTGCCGTTGATCTACTCGAACAGATCCTTTCTGTTGTTGAAAACCTCTCGTTGGAGCCAGTCTTTGGTGGACATTAACCGAGTTCTCAGTTCGAAATTGATGAAATCGAGGGAACACAAACTGTTGCAGAGAAAAGCAGAAGCCCAGATGCGGCTCGGCTGGTTTTCGGAAGCGAAATCGTCGCTGCAGCTCGCGTTGGAGGTTTTATTTGCTTTTTTTTTGTGTTCAAGGTGCGAAGCATGTCACATAATTTATTTTTCAAATGCTCGAGAATTATTCATGAACGGCTTTTAATTTTATGTGTCAAAATTCACATTCTGAGCCTGAACCTAATGTCTCTAATGAGACTTTCGTGGTTCTTTTTATCGGTCCTGTAATCGGGAAATGTGAGGTGCTTGACGGAGCCCGCTTCACCGATGATTTCATAACTGATAGGATAATCAGTGAGCGTCGGTGACATCTATACGAAGGAAACGAACTACTGTTTGTCTGTCGTGGGCGTCTCTTGCCAGGGTTTGATGTTTTGTTAGGTTTCATAATTTTTGAAGTGAAACTCGCGAATAGGCTCTGTAAATAGCTCCGTAGGGAAATTCCGCGAGGCATTTTTTTCTCGCATGATCAAAAAGCGTATATGTACTGTACTCAACTTATAATGCTTTTAAATTCTTGAATTGTCTTTGTTATCGAATACTGTATTTGCGTATTCTGTATTCTTCATTTTGGGAAGAAGAAAAACCAAGTTTTTGGCTTTTTTTTTTCGTATGAACGATATTCTGGAGTTCCGTTAGATTGAATGCCGTGAGCAATTCATTGATTTTTTGCTGCGTCTGAAACTCTGAATAAATGTCTGTAGTTTTTCTATTATTCTTTCTAAAATAATCACTTCTAATAGTGTACCTCTAAATCTAAGTCTGACTACGATCAGATCTTGATTCATATACGGATCCAGCGTTTCACAGTGACCAAATTTTGCATCAATCGCAGGCTTTAGCTCGGTCTGACCTAAATGCCGATGAACGAGAACGTGACGCGCAAATTATTGCGGAGGTTATATCCAGCGTCGACGCGGAGGACCCAGAAGACTGGGCAGATTTTTGCGGCGCAGAATTGAATTTGTTCCGAAAATCTCGCGGGAAATTGAACCCTGTACCTTGGGATCCGTTGCGAGATGCTTTACCCCGCGATCAAAGAAATACGGTGTACCCTTGGCTGTCCAAGAAAATCGATTTGGCTATCAATGAACAACTGGGAAGACATCTAGTAGCGCGGGACCGAATTCAACCGGGTGACTCACACGTACACCGTATTTATTGTAAATACCGTACTGTATGTAAATATTCATGATTGATTGCGGTATTTCTGCCTCAATTAACTGAGGCACTCTCCGGATGATATGTGTGGGATAATTTAAAATGACAAGAAATGCAAGTAATGAAAGGTATTTTACTTTACGGAGAACAGGCGGGGAACATGCATTGACGATGTTCGTGATTGAAGAGCTAATTATTGTACTGTATTGTACTATTCATTGTGGTCTTTAGTGCCGGCACATGGAAAACATACCTGACTTATTACAGTTAAAATCTCTACGACGACGTTCAAGGGACCGGAAAAAAAAAATTTTGAGTACAGAGAATTCCCTCGTAGAGAGCCCGTATAACATGGGGAGAGAACTCTACAGAACCACCAACATTGTTATACCGTACATAGAAAATCTTTTTCGACAAAACTGTTAAAGCGTGTCCACTTATAGTTTCGGGATTGGAGAAAAAGTGACGCATGTTCAAGTGCTTTCAATGCATAACTCCCTCAGCGCAGATCTTGAATTTTGATTCGAGTACCATCGTGGCACTCGTCCAGTGGTACGCAGAATTATCCATCGGACGGGATTGGAGAAAAAGTGACGCATGTTCAAGTGCTTTCAATGCATAACTCCCTCAGCGCAGATCTTGAATTTTGATTCGAGTACCATCGTGGCACTCGTCCAGTGGTACGCAGAATTATCCATCGGTGGAAATGAATGAATGGGTACCATGTTTTATGTGAACTATTTTCAGCACCTAACTTGGAACTAGGCTTCAGACTCGTAAAAAAGGAGACATGAAGCGATGCAGTATCAATTATTAATTATTTACTGTAATATTGCTGTGATTTTTCGTGCTGAACTCGAGAACGGGGCGTTCAGTACTGGTGAATTAGAATAAAGCCCCTGAAGCAGGGACGTGCACAAGTGTCGCATCCATCTTAAAAAAAAAAATATTTCGAAATTCGCATGGGCGAGTTAAAATTCATCAAATTGTAGATCATTCTAATTCTGCAGCCGAATTCGCAATTTTCTATGTCACAGCCTTACGGGCTGTGCGAATCGTGTAGGTCAAAGGTTTCTTCTGGTTAGATTGTGAATTTCTTTTCGAGATTGATTAAGAGGGAGAGCTGTTGATTTTTGTTGAAATGGAACATGACAACCTTCATTGATGAACCCGTTTGTTTCGTGATCCAGGAGAGGTTTTGGTTGCTGCGGAACCGAGCATATTTGTTCTTAGTCCTCGGAACTGGGCGACTCACTGCACACACTGCATGTCATTTTGCTACACTGGCATTCCTTGCGATGACTGTTGCATGGTTAGTAATTGAAGACTACCGGAAACCGCAATTTGAAAATTTCATTTCGATTTCACGATACTTTAAATTGAGGACAACTGTTCCAGAGATGAATACAAAACAGTATTTGAACCACTCAAGCCCTTACGAAACGAGTGCTTTTAAAGGAACGCTCGGAATTATCTTACACAATTGTACTTTTAACATTTCGCCTCTCACTGATTCAACTTCACTTCATGGCTTGAGAATCTCGCACCGAGTGAATTCAGTTTGGAAACTCGGGTATTTTCTTGTCGATGATTCTCTTTCTCCGTTATTTTTCGACGAGAGTTTTGCTATCATGCAACAATTTTGCAATGGTTAAAGGGTTATGAGGCGTAAGATGCGTTTGTAAATTTATGTCGCACATGATACCTGAAACTTCGGTAAAAAAAATCAATGAAAAAAGCTTTTAACGGAAATTTTGTACACACTTCACGTTGTTTTGAAGCCTCATCTCCTAATTGTGCCACAGTAGCGTGGCAGAATATTTTTTATGGGTAATTTTAGCTGAATGCATCCTGGCCGAGACTCTTGAGTGTGGCTGCAGGCGTTCAAGTACAGTACTCGCGTACGTTTTTTAAAAATCTTCAATGTAACGGAATTATGGTTGTATTAGTGGTTAGTTAACCGATAATATGGAAGTTCTGCTCCTTAATGCACAGTATCCTGTTCGAAGGCGTTGTTTTGTTCGGAAGACTGTAAAGACGCTGCTCGTGCCTACCATCAATACGAATGTCGCATTATCGGCAACATTGAAACGTCGATCGGATCCGACGTTGAAGCCGAACTCGGTCTTTTCGCGAGGCTCCGGATAATTTCCTCGCAAACCCTCGGAACTCTTTTGTCTTTGCGTACGAGACTGGTTGAATTTTATGACGAATTCGCGTCCGGGGACGGGCTGGTGTTGCCGACCAAGTCCTTCCTGCCGTCTGGCCGAGACTTGGAGGGGTACTTCGCAATTCACTGCCTGCAATGGATGCGGATGGTCGATAGACACGCGTTGTATGCGAAAGCGGTCGAAGCTGCGGGTTTGTTGAAATTGTTGGCGGCCAGCGGGTTTTTCGGCGCCGTGGGAACGGAGGTGGCCGACGCGCAGCGATTTGTTGGCTGGCTTCTCTTTATTCATTGCGTTGCCGCCAGGCACCAGGTTCGTCGTGAGCTGGGCTTTTCGTTTTGTTTTCCGCTATTTCCTCATGCCAAAAAAAAAAAAATCACGGCGTTTCAATGTGACCAACCGGGAATGTTGTAGTTCCTTTGGGATCTTATACGTGGTACTTGGAGTATAAGCACTACTGGTAGGTTCTCTGCAATGATCTTCTCTACGACGATTTTCTCCGATTAAAGAATTTGTATTTGTCTAAAACAAAGCTCAGGTGAAGTTACAAATTCAAAATTTTTAAAAGGGAGAATCTGGCTGTTGGGAACACCTATGTGGCGAGTTTCTCCGTACTGTAAAACAATTTTTTCGTCACATAATCAGAAGGGTTCCCTACAACTAGACTATGGAGTATGAAGTGTCCACGTGATCTTGATTAGAGCACCAGGGGATGCATGTTTCCAGTTGGAATTGAAAATACTTATTCTGGGGGAGGGACTTCTGTTGGCTGGCATCAGCCAAACAATCATGTATATCAGGGGGTTTTTCCAAACTTTGCAAATTGCTTCATTTGATTTCTGTAAATATGTCACGATTAAAGCCATTTTTCAGGCATCATTGAGCAAAAATAAATAGTGGGAAACCCTTGGGTACTTGCATTACACACACACATCCATATCTTCGACACTGTTGAGAATGAAATGGATTCAGGATAACCAGATTCAAGCTACGAGGGGAGGACTATTTTAGGTTTGAGGACTTCATTGGATGGTAGGCATTTTTGCTGACTGATGCCAACCAAACAGTCACATATGACTGGGGGTTTTCCCCCAACTTTTCAAATTGTATCTTAGGCTTGGAGCCCGGAGCAGCCATACATTTTGCCTGCTCCAGGCTCCGGCTCCGCTCCAAGTCCCTGCTAAGAAGCGTATTCTCCATTCCCAGTACTGTACTATACTGTATCTTTTCAACTTCTCTGGCCTTTTAAATTTCAATGCCATACCCTCTAAACACTCCCCCCCCCCACCAACCCCACTGAATGAGCGCATTAAACGTGTAGGTGTACAACGTGACCGAGGTGTTGGTGCCCCCGGGCGGCGTGGAGCACTTGACGAGCCGCGACTTGGGTCTGTCCATCACGCCCGTCGTGAACTTCGCGAACCACGCTTGCTTCCCCAACGCCGCCTTGATGTTCACGGGGAAACGGACGTGTCGCGTGGTAGCCTTGCTTCCGGTGGCGCCCGGCGAAGAGGTCACTTTGGCGTACACGCACCAGGCCCATTCGTGGCCGCGGTCCGAGCGTCGCCGAGTCCTGCTGGACGATTGGGGTTTCCGTTGCGAGTGCGTCGCGTGTGTGGACGACTGGCCGTCGGTGTGGCAGTGTCCGACGAGGATTGCGTTCCAGTGCCCCGTGTGTCGAGCGGTATGATGATGTAATTTATTTTGTGCATATGCGGTACAGCACTGTATGTATAAGCCGCAGAAATGTTGAACATTTTGTTTTTTGATGGGGAAAATGCCGTGGGACAGAAGCAACGCCTTCGTTAAGTCTCTCCGTCAGGTGGCTCTTGGGGAGTTTTTTTTATGCATGTGAAATTCCTTGTTCAGCGGTTATTAGGCTTAGTTTTTTTTTCGTGGACTGTTCCGTATACAGTATCAACTCTCGAGTCCTTTAAATATTCCGTGTTCCGAATCATTATATTGCAGATGCGCTCGATTTTCATCTTCGTACACTTCCTATCCGAACTATCTAAACTCGAGAGCATTCTGAGATTTTTCGAAAATTTCAAATCTGTAGGCATGAATGGTTTTTGTCGCCTTTCGCGAAAATTGAAAGTTGGATTCTAAAAAAAAATGTTGACCGTATTGACAGAGGACTTGAGAACTAACTTGAGAACTGTTTGCATTCAAAAATTAGTGAGATCATCATTTATATATTGTGCTGGGGTCGTCCAACGCTGACGGAGTAAGTTTAAATTTTTTTGAATTCTTGGAAAAATATTTGTGAATCTCTAGGATGCATGCGATACAATTTTGTACACCTAGGATGTTGACCTTACGGCAGCGAGTGCCTGGTATCCACTTTCTAAATACAGTCCCTGTATCTCAGTCTCGGGTTATCTTTTTGGGGTATATAATTTTTCTGCGATCAAGCGAATGTCTTGTGTACAGTATACAGTAATTTATAATGGTCTCTAGTTCTACAGCAGTGTTGATATTTTTGTAAAAAAAGGCAAAATGAATGAAAAGTTGAACAAAACCGATCCGAGTACACAGCGAAGAAAAACAACTTGAAAAGAACGAAGATAATTTATTTTTGTCCATTCATTGCCAATATTACTTGCTACAACTCCGTATTTAAAAGTTAACCTGGATACACGAATTGCAAACGTCGAGATTCTTCCATGACTGCTGTAAATTTAAACTCGGTCTATCGGTGTATTCTTTGGTTTCAGTGGATGAATAAAAAAAAAGAGCCACGATTGCCGAAGTTTCCGTGTTACGCTTTATCGTGCTCATGATAAGGAATCCTAAGATTACCTTCATAATTGAATGAAAAGATTTGCTGGGTCATGTCTCCCTGGAAGCATGGTTAATCGGAACTTTTTGGCACCCGAGTTGTTCACGGTAATTTAAATACTGTACTGTACTTGCACACCTGTCCGGACCGGTTCCGTCTTGGAAGTCTAATGTTTCATATCACAAGAATTTACAAAATAAAACTTTTCTGTTCAATTTGCCTTGATCGTACAGTACTGTATTAGAAACTTTCCTTACTGTTGAGGGATTCACAATGGTATTTACCAATTTTCGCAGTTTTTTGGTCAAGTCATTTAAGAATTCCGGAAATTTTCAGCACTTGGGCGTGAGCATTTTCTCTCTTGAATTTGCAAACAAACAGATCGCATTCTCTGTTGATATATACGCAGCGACTTTCATGCGATACCTTTTGACAAGGTTTTTTCGATTTCAAAAATTACCGTTTTTAGAGAAACATGCTGATATATTTTTTCTGCTGATCGTTTACTTTTCCGTGGGATCCATCCATATCGTAATGTGGTGGAAAGATCATGTTGACGCTCGGTCGACTTGCATTTTTGCAAGAATTTCTGCAAAAAATCATCTTTGTGTAATGTAAAATGTAAACGGAACTTTGTGGATCTGCATTTTGGAATCTGCCGGTTTTAAAGAAAAGTTCCACGTAAGTAAAATACAAACTCGAAACTACCCAAATCGAATTTTTTTTTTCAAGTTCCTGTCTAAATCCCCTTTGAAATAATGCTTCCCAACTCGATTTTTTTTGCTGGTCCGTTGAAATTCGGCTTGAAGAGGTTCGACGGTATTAGTCACTATTGAAGGACCAGTGATTTTTTCGGTCGATTGCCTTCGATTCCGAGAAAATCAAAGAATCGTCGGACATTCCAGTTGCAAATTCGGCTTTTCGGCGTTAGCGCGATGTTTCTTTTTTTTTTTTTTGCATTTGGAAGCCCATCGAAGATTTGGCGAAAGTGGACGACGAGTGTTGTTCGTGCGGGGCGAGCATGAGAACCGAGCTGGATCGGCTGGCGACCGCCTTCAGTTCCGAAGGCGGCGTTTTCAACGTGCGCGTACCCGTGCTGGAAGGCACTTCCGGGACGGAGCTGGTGTTTTTGCGCGACGCCAAGGAAAAGCTGTACGCGGAGTCGGATACGGCGGCGACTAGTCGGATCGTCACCGGCTTCCTGGGCAACGCGTACGCCATGCTGGCCAAACCGTGCAAATACGTGTCTGAAGCCGCGTTCCTACTGGAGCTCTGCCTCACGCTCCAGTCGCGGTTTGTGCGCTCTGAGCGACTCTGATTCTCTCCCTTACCTCTCTCTCTCTGATCAAAGCGTGTTTTTTTTTCTCTCTGAAGAAATGCTTCCTTCCTTGTATCGACGGCATATATAGTGACAAAATGCTGAGAAGATGACACGCATTTGATTCAGCGGGGGGAGAAAACAAACCGCGTTAAATAGTTGCGTCTTTCGTTGTCGCAGGTTTCTTTTTTTTTTCTTCTCTAGTTGAGCAATTTAATTTTAGTGATATGCGATCATGTGTTCGAAACATTGTACTGCGATTAATTTGACCGTGTATACGTGAGTTCAGGCCGCATCAAGGATTTTAGCGGTGTCTTTCAAGGGAAAAAACATATAAGCCTGAGAACATTTTTTGGACGTAATTTGGCCTAAACCGAATTTACGCGAATGCATGATGAGCTACCCCTTTTCCAATTTAGAAGCTCAACAGCTAAGGAGGGGGTGGGAGTTGTTTATATTCGCATATTTATGCAATTCGTCCAAAAGTGCGTCTGTATTGAGAAATTTTCCTTTTTGAGGCCCTCAAAATGATCATACATTTATCTGGTTCCTTTGGAATCGAAATTAAAAATAATCAAGGAATGGTCGGCTTTTAGCTCTTCAAGATGCATGAGTCAATGAATAAATGGGAAAAGCTAGGGTTGAGTGGCACTGTGTTTTTTTTTTAATCTCGGCATACATTTATTGAAGAATTTCTGGTTTCTGGAAAGTCAGAACTCCAGGAAAGTGAATGGGTGCTTATATTCGCTCATCAACGGATTTTCGATTTTGTGCATGAAAAATTTGCTAATATTTGTGGGGTGTTTTTATTCGCGTAAATACGGTATACGAACTGAAATCTGCAAGTTTTAGAAATGAAACGTAAGAAAATAGCAGTGGATAACAAAATATTTTCTCAAGCTCCAGTTATTTCAATGCTGGGCTATATGTTCTTTTATGGTCTTCGGACATGGGTTTATTATCCGCTTGAATTCCTTTCTCCCTGCTGTGATGCAGGCACGCCATGGTAAATCATTTCAACACGTCTTGCGTGTTTATGATATTTGAAACACACAGACGATGGTCGTTTAAATAATATAGCACTGATCCGCCGACAGAAAAAAAAAATGTAACCCAGCATGTTATCTAAAGAACAATTAAGCAAGAGTAGAAATTTTATGGAAATAATGCTATGCGGTGCATTTCTTTTTCAAACGCTTGGGGCTATAAAATACAGTCAACTCCTTGCGCTATTTCGGGTCATTGAGACCTTTTCGATTCGAATCTTAAAAGAGACGCTGATGTATTTTAAATTCAGCATAAATCTCCTGGCAATTGGTTGCTTCTCTTGTTGCTACTTCCATATTTGGTTCCACGGAATCTTCGTTCGTTCAAAGCCTGTATTGAATTGCGTAGCGTGACAAAAACCGCGTAACTTGATTTTCCGTTTAAACTTGTTCGCCAGATTGAGGTCGTGCAGTTCACGCCTCTTTTTGAATAACTTGCTTTTGGATCACAAGAAGTTGTTGTGCAGTTCCGTTGAAAAACATTAACGTTTCAGTGTTCTACGGGATTTTGAAGTCGCGTTAAATCAAAATTGAATAATTTTCGGGGTTACAATTTTTTTATTATCTTGCTTCAGTATTTAATTGTAAAATTGGAGTCGCATTGAAAATAAGCCAGAAAGTTTGATCGTGTAGAATCTGTAGATAATGTAGAAAATTCAGAGAACGTTTTCATTTTTCAGCGATTTTTAAAACTTTTGTGCTCTGCGCTACGCTTTGCTGTTCCATTTTTTTTTTCGAAAGGAATTTTATTTTGCCTTGTTCGAACGAACCACGCAAACTACTTAATTTTTCGCCTTATCGGCGCCGAATGATTTTCATCGGAGAATGCTTGTTTAACTAGTGGAGTCGACGCTCATTTTTATTTGCCTGCGTGGTATGAAATTGAGAGTTGTTCAGCTCATTTTTTGACCAATTGATTGTCCGCAATCGGTTTCGGCGCGCGAAGAATTTTGCTTGTTCTGTCCACGCGCGTTTGTGAACATTCTTGCGTCTGTCGCTTCCATTAGTCAGTACTGTATTTGTATTAACTCGTTTCACTCGTACTTCTGTTTTCGCTCATGGAATCTTCTGGAATTTCAAGAGTAAATCTTCAATTCAGGTAAATTTGCATCCGCGTTTAGTCCAGGAAAGCAACGTTTTGAGGTGTGAATTGAATTTTAATGTGCCTGGAGGAATCCGCGAATGTCTTGGATAATTGGGACGTGGCTGACTCGTAATGGTTAACGAATTTCCAAGTACAGTACACTAATTTGTACTGTAATTACTTTGGAAGTGACGTTCCTTGGTGGCTTGTAGCATTGATTTGAAACAATGTACTGTACATCGTGTATACTGTACTGAGAATTTTTGTGTACGGTATATTGTTCCGGTTCGTAAGCGATCGATTTTTTTCCTTCGAATCCCTGAAATTGGAATCATCTTGGTCATAATGAATCCTCTATTTGACGTTACGATTGATACCCTTGTTCAGATGCTAAGAGAGCAATTAGTGCGGGAATCGCCCGCAAAAGAGCCCGTATCCGTTCTAAAGGAAAAAAAATAATTATAGTAGATTAAAAAATTAATCTAAAAAACCACGTTTTCAAAAAGCAAAAAATAACCTTAAACGTGGTGCGCATCTATTTCATTTGTATTTCACTTCTTCCCAACAATCTCCATGCTCACCACGTTTAAGGTTATTTTTTGCTTTTTGAAAACGTGGTTTTTTAGATTAATTTTTTAATCTACTATAATTATTTTNAACTATGACTAACCCGACCATGTGAGGATGAAATGACGTCGTCGGAAATGACGGGTCTCGCGTCGGCACCGGTGTTTGAGTGCGAGGAACGAGAGTGTCGTCGTTGCGAGGAGAACGCTGTCGAGGACACGAATGCGTTGTCCGGCCTGTTCAACAAGTCCTGCGACACGTGCCGGGCAGTGAAGAAACTCTCGCGGCGGATCTCAGACCTGGGCGACTTGCGTTTGCTCAATGCCTACTACAATGCTTCTGTCGGACGACGCTGCGGAGAGCCCGTGATTGCGGAGGTAAAATAAAGCTTTCTGTGTGACGCTGTAAGCAAAGTGTAACCGAACCGCCCTCTTGGAAAACATTACGAGTTTGAAGGTCGGGCGGGGGAGTACTGCTCCGTATGGGGGTATTATTATTTTTCTTCTTTTTTCTTCTTCTTGTTCGTCTTTGCAATCAACTCGACAGATTTTTGCTCTTTCTTTCTGCAAATATCGCTGGACTGTGCTTACAAGCTCTCCTCTTCGTTCAGTTGCAAGTTTTCGGGACTTCCAGATTTGCTCGATGTTCCAAACACAATTTTTGCGCCATGAACCTTCTAACGTTACCTTGTGTTCAACTCAAGTCCATAAGTTTTGATGCGCTCTTCGGATCAAAGAGTCCAGCATTGAAAATGCCGACAGTCTCATCAGTTTTCAGCATGAATTGCGTTTTGGTTTAATCGAAATGTCCGCGATTTACTCATGAAATGAACATTAGAATGGAGGATAATGGAATCCAATTACTGTGCAGGTAGATTTTGCTTGCAGCATTGACAACATTATTTGAGTTGATGTTATTAAATTTCCAGTGCTTTGAAATTTATCCTACAATGCTTCGTGATTCTTCTCGAAACTTTTTGCCGATGTTCGCATCAAATCACATTTTCAGTTCGGTCTAATGTTTCCATTGGTGTGGAAAGAAATTGCACAAGCATTGCCATCTCATTGAATGAATTATACGATATTTAAAATAAGCATGATGTCACGTTCGAATTATCCTGCCAAATATTCAATGTGAAATTATGGGTAAACTCGAGCCTTGACTGGAAAGTTTAAACTTCTCATCATGTAGTAGAATATACTGAAATACTGTGTCTTGGACATACTGTATGAAAATATACCGGAAGCATAAAACACCATAGTTGGAATTATGTAACATTTTTCACCGATATTAAGATACAGTAATTGTATTTAACCCTTGCGGAGGTGGAACCACCCTTGTGTCATATGAGTAGCAAAACAAGTTCTTTTTTCGTGTGAGTACCGACGTTTGTGAATCTTGTGCGGGAAGGATCCTTGAAATTCCAGAGAAAAATTTAGAAAACTGTGATGTTATTTTCAAAAAAAAAAAAAAATCATTCACCTTTTGATACTACATTTTTGCGTTAAAAAACTCATAAATTTGCGAGAATGCGAGTAGAATACTTCTCTCCTCATCGCGGAACAATCGTGCAAAGCCCATGAAAATTGCCGTGTTTGACATGCAGTACTGAGTATGCAGAAATGATTGGAAAAATTACGAATTCTCAGTCGCTTCTATATTCTGCTCACACCCACGTATTAAAACTCCGTAGTCTCCCAGCGGGGAACGAACAGTGTTATACGGAGAATAGTCACAACAGCGATCATTTATTTCTATCGGAATTCCATCCGGATACAAAAAAACGTGACGAATGCCTGCTCTCTTTTCTTCATGTGCGACACTGGCTAATCACGTTTGCGTGACGCGATTCGTCACGGTACTTATGCGGATGCCATGCTCGACACGTGTACACGGCCAACACGGCCCTTCGTTGCTGATGAAGGAATGACAAAATCACGGGATTTGGTGCGTCTAGCAGCCACGGTAGTCAATTTTCGGCTCGAGATTGATGAAAATCCTTATGCTGAAGGGCTTAGGCTACAAATTAATCCCGAGGTAATGGAAAACCTGCATGTTTTCCACGAGGAATCCCACACACAACTTGGAAACCCCCGTTTCGCTTGAAAATTATTGCAGCGTAAAAAATATTCACCTAAATTTTCTGGCACCAAATGTTAAAAGAAAGCAAACAAAGAACACATCATCCAGGCTTCTTGTTTTCCCTAAAATTTGGATTCATTGAGGGAAAACTAATGTTATTTTTAATTTCAAGTGAGCTGCTTTATATTACTCTCGATTCACAAGGTCTGCATTAGCATACTTTTTTCAGTTTTATGAATGCGCATTTTTCTTAAAATC